GTTTTGTACCTTGTCCGAAATGTCACAAATTATATAAAAAAGAGGAAGTGGTAGATTTCAAACAAGAGGACAATCCTGCTATAATGAAATGTCAACACATAGAATTTCCCAATTCTTCAGTTCACAAATTACGTCTTTGCAATACGGCATTATCTGAAAAAATTAGCACATCGACAAATTGAACAATAATACGACCTAATTTAATGTATCCGTTTGCTGGAATCAATCAAGAACTTGCCACTATGTTTTGTCGGTCTGGGTTTGAAAATTCTCTCTGACATTGGGCTAATCGGTCGAATTTTGATAATATTTTGACCGATATATATGATGGGCAAGTGTGGAAGAATTTTAAAGAATCGGACAATGAAGATTCGCCAAATTTTTTCAGAAGAGAAGTAGCCGATTCTCATCTTGGCTTAATGCTGAATCTTGATTGGTTTCAGCCATATGATAGTACCATTTATAGTATCAGTGTCATATACGCCGCTATATGCAATTTGCCACGCGATATACGATTTAGACGTGAAAATTTATTGACTCTCGGCATTTTACCTGGGCCAAAGGAGGTCAGCCTACATAAAGTGAACCACTATTTAGCACCAATAGTTAACAAATTGGAAACACTCTAGGATGGGTTAACACTAAATCGTACTTATGAATGCGAAAATGGAAAGAGAGTTCGTGGCGCTTTAATCTTAGTATCATGTGACATTCCCGCTGCAAGAAAAATTTGCGGTCATGTTTCTGCCTTAGTTTCATGTCACAGGTGTGAGAAAAAAGCAAATTATGAAAATGGGCAGCATAATTTTGCTGGAATGGATGATGTAAGGTAAGGTTGCTTGCCGAAATCAAGTAGTTTAGGCCAAGGCCGAAACTTTTTTAAAACCGAAAATTTAGGCAATTAAAAGTAAATTTGCCGAAATTATACAATGCCGAAACTTTTACTGAAAGGCCGAAATTTGGCCGAAATTATTGGCCAACATTAATACTATAATTCTGGCCGGAATAATGATCGACATGTAAATTTCCTTTTATGGAAATTTGTGTAACATTTGTGCGACACATTTCTCCGATTTTACTGGGAAACAAAATTTCCTTTTTTGGATATTTGTGTAACGTCACGTGACACAATATCATAATTTCGGCCGAATTTTAATTTTGGCCAAAATTAAGACCGAGTTTCGGCCTAATTTCGGCATTTTCGGCATTTGATTTGATTGGCCGAAACCTTTCGGAATTTCCTTTTTAGTTTCGGCAGGCAACCTTAATGTAGGGTATTCTGCTTGAGATTCGAATGAGCACCGGCAAAACGCATTAGGTTGGCGAAGATGCAACTCAGACACTGCTAGAAAGCGCTTCGTCAAAGAAACTGGCGTTAGATAGTCCGAATTGTTGCATCTATCATATTTCGACTCTATTAGATTTATTACAGTCGATCCAATGCATTGCTTATTTCTGGGCATTGCGAAGTGGATAGTAAAACGAATTTGGATCGATAGGGGTATTTTGACACCAAATTCTTTGAACAAAATTCAGAAAAAGATGGACGAGTTTCAGATACCATCCGATTTAGGTCGAATTCCAGGAAAAATTCATAGTGGAGAGGGATTCACCAATTTTACGGCCAATCAGTGGCAAATATTCTTTACAATTTATTCAACTGTATCACTTTGGGAACACCTTTCAGACGTAGATAGAAGAATCCTGAATCATTTTGTCAGAGTTTGTTCGATTTTGGTAAATCGGATTCTAGAATCTAATTTGGTGGATGAAGCCCATAGAAGTCTTATCGAAATAGTCAAGCTCATTGAGAATCACCACGGCAGAAATAAGATCACACTGAATCTTCATCTTTCTCTGCATTTGCGTGATTGCTCATCTGATTATGGACCATTATATGCGTTCTGGTGTTTCTCTTTCGAACATATGAACGGTATTTTAGGTAAATATCCGTTAATGATTTTTTAACGATTTTAACGATTTCAATATTAGCTTATAATTTATTGATTTCGCACTTTTAGGTTCGTTACCAAACAGCAACAGGAAAATTGAGTCTGAACTTATGCGTCGATTAATGTTTGATAAACAAATCGAAAATATCATAAGTTCAGGTATCGAAGTAAAAGGTCTTGAATTGCTAAACAGTCAGCGTACTATCGGGTCCCTTTCAGTTACTGATGAATTTTCGTAAGATGAGATGCATCGATTTTGGCTGAATTCACAAAATATTAAAGATTCACAGATATCTGGCAAAGAAGGATTACCAGGTGAATTTCTTAAGCCGGTATCTCATAATATACTACTTTCAAGTGAAATGTTAAATTTAATGGTCGAATATTACAATGCGATTTACGAATCATTTGGATTTCGGAGGCCTCTTGTAGAAGGTTTAGATAACGATATAATAATTAGGGTCAAAATTAACCAATTCGAAAGGTGTCGGATTGGTTCAGAAGTCTTTGGATAGTCATTATCGTTAAGACATGTAAAAAGTTCGTACGTCTTAGCGAAATTTATTACGGATGATGAAGATGTTGACACCTACCCAGGTCAAATTCAGTATTATTTTACTCACGTAGTAGACTTTCCGGATGGTCCTGTCAAACATTTTCTAGCATACATTCGTTAGTATAAACACGCAAATTCAACCAATATTCGATACTATTTCAGCAGTAATGAAATTTGTAATGTTGAGTTGTGGAATACCGAATTTTATCCAATAAGTCATGATTATATAATACCTGTGCATCATATTTTAGGTAGATTTGTACCAGTAAGTTACCAAATCTCAAACCGGCAAAATGCAAGAGAGTATTTAGCCGTAAATCCAATTAGTAGAAAATACCAATTATAAACTTATAAGTTTTAGACATAAATTTATAATAAATTGAGTAATTGACTATAAATTTTGTGTTGATTTTTCCGAATTTCTGAATTTTAATGACAAATCATGTTTTTCAAAAGTTAATTTTGATGACTTTTTTTGTATCAATCAGCCGTCAATCAAATATAATGATTTTTTGCCGAATTTTTATCGAATTTTTATTGAATTTTTATTGAATTATCAATTTTCCATAAATCGGAAGTACATATTTGAATATTGGGTAAATTTTAGGTTGATTTGTCATTTTGTCTGATTTTTTTTTTGATTTCAACCAGCATCAATCAGCCGTCAATCAAATATAATGATTTTTTGCCGAATTTTTATCGAATTTTTATTGAATTTTTATTGAATTGTCAATTTTCCATAAATTGGAAGTACATATTTGAATATTGGGCAAATTTTAGGTTGATTTGCCATTTGTCTGATTTTTTTTTTGATTTCAACTAGCATTTATCAGCCGTCAATCAAATATGATGATTTTTTTCTGGATTTTCATTAAATTGTCCGATTGGCATCAATCAGATGTGCTGATTTGTAATGTCAGTCGATTTTGGTCTGATTTTTAGCTGATTTTCCATATGTCTGATTTTTTTGATTTCGACTAGTAATAAGCATTTCACCTCCACCCCATAAATACATCCTTCCGTCGTTATTAATAATGCCTGTTAAACTCCATTTTCTAATTGCATTAACTCCAGCTATTTTTGGAATACTTCACACAACACTTTGTGAATCAAATGCATATACCAATGCCATTGTTTGATCAGTTGTGAGTCCTCTGTATAAAAATAGTGTATCATTATTTGGACCACCTTTAACTGATATTGCAGAAGAATGAGGTGGAACCATATTAATATTTGATAAATCTTGCCATGATAATTCTTGAGTATTAAATGGTACAGAAACATCAAGGTAAAAAAATTCATTTATTTGTTTTTTGTTTAAATCATATCCATCCAAAATATATAATTTATTATCAATGAGTGTAGCAGTATGACGACTATATACATTTGGTTTAAAGGGCGTCATTTGACAATTTACTTTAACCAATGCTTGAAGTAATATCCATAATATGAAATAAACCAAAGGATTTCTTGACATAATCGTAATTTATTTAATAGTAGAAATGAATAATATTAATATTTAAGAAAAAATATTTATTCACTTTTTAAAAAAAGAATTTTACGGTATTTAAATTTTTAGCATTACACTTAGCAAAAACATGGTTGCATAGAACGGATTATAATATTCAAGTATTTATTTTTCACAACAATATAATTAATGCACACCCACATACCCTATGCAAATTTATTAGCACAATTTCCATATGTGTTGCATAAAATCATAAGATAATGATTCAATAATGCTAAAACGTTACCCAAATAATTAAATTAATTTTTTGGCTTGAAAATACGCTGTGCAAAAAAGATGATCCAATAAGAAATAAATTGTTACGATGTTTGTGATCAACAATTAATTAACCCTCATATCAAATAATTCGATAGATTTTTTTGTGCCAAAATGATGATCATATCCTGGAATGCATTAGATCATTGACAATCATATCTTAAAATGAAGAATGATGAAAAATTGTGAAAAATTGTGCGTTTTTATGGATTAGTTAATGCATTTTTATGGATTAGATTTTGCATTTAATTTAACCATAAGTCCAAATTTGGATGAAAAAGTCAGATAATTTTATATATATGTTAGTATAGCGAAGCTAACGTTTATTTAAAAATAATTTTATTATAAATAATATTTTTTTAATGAAGGAAAATAATGTTTCAATAGAATTAGATAAATTGGATATTTCCAATTTGAATAAAATAATAGGTGGGCATGAATTAATTATAAATATAATTACACCAAAAGTTTATATAAAATATTTGAAACAATTAAGAAAATATAAATTAATGTTTCTAGATCAACTAACTACATTAAAAGGAGATTATTTTTTTAACTTTTTGGCAATTTAAACAACGACGTTTTGTTGGAAATTTAAGATCAAGTAATATTACCCCAAAAATTTTTTCAATATTAAATGATATTACAATAGAAGATAAATATACGAATTTATTGAAACCACGTTATCGGTATAGTAATGTAATTAATAATTTAAAAGGTTACGAATTAATTTCACCAAATGAATGTAAGAAAAAACAATTTATAATGTTTTGGAATATGTAATAGCAAAAGGTAAGTGAATTTAATGGATTTAATAATTTTATAATAATATTACTAATATAATACTTTATTTATTTAGATTAATCAATGATTTGGAATTCTTTAAAATAAGAAACAAGGCTATAGCTCCATTTGTTTATTCACGAATAGTATCTCTTCAAGCTTTTTTATCATTAGGAACCAGGAATCCTCCAATTTCAAATGAAATATTCCAATTATTAAACGAAGAAAATTAAGATATTGCATCTTTTGTTTCATTATTTTCTAGAGCTTTTATATTGGCAAATGAAAAATGTGAGAAACATATATCTCATCATCCAGCTTTATTATTTTTCAAAGCAATACAATGTTTTGATCCAAGATTTATTCAATCTAATTCATCTAATCATAATATGGAAAATTATAGAATTATCAAAGAATTTTATCTTCCTACTGATACTTTAATACAAGAATGGGTTATTTACTGTGGACTTAATGAATCTATTGAAGAGTTTGATGATTTGGATTTGTATTGGCGAGGTAAAAAGACATATATTACCAGAACTTAGTTCACTGGCTTTAATATATATATGGTTGTGGTGTAAATATTGAACGTAGTTTTTCTAGTTATAAAAGCATTTTATCAGATAGAAGAGTAGCGCTTAAAGAAGAAAATATTCAAATGCTTAATTTTCTTTATTTTAATCTTAGTAATAATGATGATTATAATAATGAATTGATGATTTATGAATAATATAAATGTATAAATTTATTACTTAATTGTAAATAAATAAATAAAATTTGTATAGAATATAAATTATTAAAAAGTTTTCATAATCGGAATTATGGTAATTCTGGCTGAAATTATGGATCACGATTTTCACGATTTTTGTGATTTTTCACGCCTGATTTTTGGGCCATCACGACGTCAAATCCTGGACACCCTACTATCGATCTGCATCAAAGTCACGTGATAGTAACAGTAATTCGTATTACATTTATCACGAAAATAAAGTGTATACGTGGATTTAAAGTTTATATGTTTAATTTTAAAGTAATTTATTCAAAATAAATATTAACTCAAAATAACGAAACAATACAAGTAAATAAATACTAATTCATTAATCATAATAAAAAAATAAAATATTGGAGCAGTAATCCCTAGGGAATAGATAGGGGCCAACTTAGGTTACACAAACTAACGGATTATAAATTTGAACTGAAGTCTTAATAAAATCAGTTACACAAAAAAAACTATATTAAATCGTGCAAAATTTTTAGTTTTTTTTTATTTTTTTGATATGCGCATATAAAAGAGTAGCTGATTTTAAAAGTTAAGGTCAACAACTTGAGCTCTAATGGATGGTGCAATTTTTATTAAAATTGGTCTACTGTAGCTTTTTAAAGTTCGCTTTCTTTTTTAAAATAATATATAGGTAACATTTATTTCAATCATTACGTTTGAAAGTGAACAGTAAACTTTATTATTTTTATCAAAATAATTTCTCTACATGTTTTTGTCTATTTTCCAACAAAATTATAGTTTATGATGTAAACATTTGTCTTTTTAACATAGCCTCTTCACAAAATTGAGTTTCTTTTTTGAGATGATCAAAAATTAAAGGTATCAAATTTTTTTTTTGTTTAATTTTAGCATTAATATTATTTCCAAATACCCAAAGTAACCACTGTAATTCTGATACTTGAATTATCTTTGAAAATGCTTTTTCAGCACCATCCAGCTGTGCTCAAATTCGAAGCTGTACTAAACCAAGTAAAAGATCTTGTGGAATATTGGCTTTCTTTATCGAAGAAAATTTATTTTCACTTTTTGGGAGGGTTTGTGTATCATTGTAAAATGCCTTCAAATTCTCACAAAGACTTGAAGTTCCTTTTTCAGGAATAAGATCATTAAACTTTCGCCATGATTTTTGTCTGCTTTTCATGTAGATGGAAATAATACGTTCATAAAGAAAAACTCTTACATCATCTTTTAGTTCTTGACTTTCATCTTTTGATTCTTGATTTTCATCTTTTGTTTTATGAGTCAAAAGTTGCTGACTAGCAAAATCTAAAAGTGAGTTGAAAGATTGAAACAATGGTAAGTTGCAAAACAAACTATTATGTATATATTGGAGGATATTTGGCCCAAATTCTTCATATTTAAAAGAATTAATGATTCCATTTTATACATAAACTCTCATCACGAAGTTAAACTAAGCATTTACCAACCGTTTATTAAATGCTTTAAGAATATTTAATTTAAGCGCTTATTAAACAAGTTTCAACGCAGCTTGTATTCGATAAGCATTATTTTTTTATTGCTAATTGAATAATAATATTATGTATTAAATTTGCATTAGAAATTAGTATAATTAAAATACTTAAATTAATTATATAATAAATAATAGTATATTATGCTATTTTAATATTGATATTTATTATTATTTTACTATTCAATTTTATTATTATATTTATACATATTGTTCTGTTATATTACATATGATATATTTTTATATTACAACTAATTAAATTTTTCAACACTTCCAAAGACCCTCCCTGCCATTTAAAATTAAAAGATTTCCAATTATTTAACGAATTTTCATGCATCCAGAGACCAGGTTGTCTAATAAAAAAGAGAATGAAATTAAATAAATAAAACTAGTCAAAAAAAATACTTCAGATTCCTCTTACCAAAATTCTACGCTTCCAAAGATCTGGTCATCTGGTCATCTGGTCATCTAGAAAAAAAAAAGATAAAAATCAAATGTTAGTAAGATGTTTCGTTAAAAGAAATAAATCAAAGAAACTCCAATACTTACCGAAATTGAATTACCTAAATCCAACATGTTCAGACCCGGAGAACCAGAATCCAAGATCCGCCTAAAAAAAATAATAATGAAATGTTAATAAACGTTTCATAAAAATAAAAAATAAAAAAACCCATTGAAAACAATGTAGCTATCTATTTTTTTGATGTATTACTATTAGGACCTGTTTTTCATTTTCAAGTGTATTATTATGTTTATTATCCATATCTTTATTAAAATTACCAATAGAGAACCAGAGAACCGGTCACCTAAAAAAAAGAAAAAAGAGAAACCAAAACGTTAGCAAACGTTTTGTTAAAAAAAATTTTTTAAAGAAAAACAATTACCAAAATCTCGCGTGTCCAGGCCCATCTAAAAAAAGAAAGAACGAAATATTAGAATACATTTCATTCGTTTCGTTAAAACAAATAATAGCGAAAAAATAGCTCACCTAATCCAACGTGTTTTCTATTATCCCATCTTGATTTTCATTGTTTTTAGTCGTGGATTGTAACGAAATGATTTCATTCAAATAATGCATGCCATCCAGGTCCGAAGAGCATGCCATCTAAAAAAAGGAAGATAACGAAATGTTAGACAGTTTGTTAAATAAATAAAATTAAAAATTTTTTTTTGATTTCTTACCGGAATTCAAGATCCGTCTAAAAAAAGAAAATAATGAAACGTTAGTAAACGTTTCGCTAAAATAAATAAAAGAAAAAAATAAGATAAATTGAAAAAAACTTACGAATCTGCGTCAAAAAAGGTTTGAAAAAGCTGACTAAAAAAAAGAAATAAGACAAAACGTTAATAAACATTTCATTAAAATAAATAATAAAATAAAAGAAATAAATTACTTACCGAAATGTCATGTCCAAAGAGCCGAAGACCTGCCTAAAAAAATAAAAAACGAAATTGTTAGGTTAACATTTCGTTATAATAAAGATGTTTAAAAAACAAAAACAAAACAAAATATATACAATAATCTGCGCGTACAAAGACTTGAAGAAAAAGAAGCTGTCTAAAAAGAGAAAGATAAATGAAACGTTAGTAAACATTTCATTAAAGAATTATAAAAAATAGCCCCTCTCTTACCAAATTCAAGTACTCAAATCCAAGCCATCTAAACTTCAGAAACTAGAAAGATCTGCCTAAAAAAGAAAAAGAAACGAACTATTAGTATAGTTCGTTAAAAATAAAAAATTTAGTAAAAAAAAATTAAGACTTACCGAATTCCTAAGCCATCATCAATTATTTTAATAAAAGGAATGTGACAAAAATTTGAAGAGCTCTAAAAAAGAAAAAAAAGTGAACTGTTAATACAGTTCGTCAGAGTAGTTAAATTAAAGAAAATAAAAAAATATACCGAAAACTTACATGTCAAAAGAAACCAAAAGACCGTCTAAAAAAAAAAAAATGAAACTGAATTTCCACGCATCTAAATATACAAAAAAAGAACAAACTGTCTAAAAAAAATCAAAAAAATGAGCCATTAGAAACTAGCTCGTTAAAATAAATATAATTGAAGAAAAAAAATAGTTTACCGGAAATGTTGTGTCCAATGAGACTGAAATAACCGTCTAAAAAAGAATTTTAGATTTTTTTTGTAGGTGATTTTAACTTTTTTTTTAAACAGAAGAGGGAAAGGATGAAAAAGAGGAAAGAACGAATTTGAAGAAGAAAAAGATTGAAGGAAATGGAAATGGAGAGAATAAAAAAAAAGAACAAAAAAAAAAAGAACGAAGGGAAGGAAAATGGGAAAAGGAAATGTAATGTAAATCCCGATAGATAAGCTTATAAAAATTATCAATTTGATAATCTATATCACGTGGTACCTGTAACACTAATTTAACAAAGTAATTAGAACTCCAACTTGACCTGAAACTTTTTTTCGGTCGAATCAGGTCAGGTGACCTGTATCGAACTGCACTAACCTGATCTACCTGTTTGACCAAACCTGATTTTTTCAGGATGGGTAATTTTTCATAAATAAAAGTGAAAAACGCCGATTGGCTTTTTTTCATAAAAAATAATGAAAAAATGCCACAAACTGGCATTTTTCATAAATAAAAAGTGAAAAAAATGCCATAAACTGGCATTTTTAATAAATAAAGTTAAAAAATGCTGGAATGGCGTTTTTTTTTTCAAAAAAATAATGAAAATGCCATAAGCCGGCATTTTTCATAAATAGAAGTGAAAAAACGCCAGAATGGCGTTTTTTTTCATAAATAATTATGAAAAAATGCCACAGCCTGGCATTTTTCATTAAAAAATGTGAAAAAACGCCGAAATGGCATTTTTTTTATAAATGAATATAAAAAAAAATGCCATAAGTCAGCATTTTTCATAAAAAGAAGTGAAAACCGCCAAAATGGCGTTTTTTCATAAATAAATATGTAAAAAATGCCATAAACCGGCATTTTTCATAAATAAAAGTGAAAAAACGCCGGATTAGCATTTTTTTTATAAATGAATATAAAAAAAATGCCATAAGTCGGCATTTTTCATAAATAAAGTGAAAAAATGCCAGAATGGTGTTTTTTCATAAATGAATATGAAAAAAATGCCATAAACCGGCATTTTTCATAAATAAAGTGAAAAAATGCCGGAATGGCGTTTTTTTTCATAAATAAATATGAAAAAATGCCATAAACCAGGGTTGAAACTTTAACCCGACCTGGTACTAGATCATGGATATTTCAGGTCAACCTGATCAGGTCACCTGAAATCACCTGACCTGTTTAGAGCACTAAGTCAAAGTTTATATTATTATACTAAAGGTACTTATGAAAAGCCTCTAAGGCTTAATATAAAAAATAATAAAATTTAAATGCTCATATTTTATACCTTTTTAATGATAAATTCAAATGCTTAATTGGTATTTTTTTTCATAGCAATTAATAAGTATTAATCTAAAATATTTTTTAAGCATTTTGTTAAAGCAGCAATTATAAAGTATTTAATGATAAATATTTAATTTGTAATCTATTATAATGATAACTAAATACTTATTTTAAATACAAATAGGTATTCATAAAACATTAAGCATTCAGTAAATACAAAATTTAAGCATTTATTAAATAATTTGTGTTTGATGAATACAAGTCTAACATTTGATCAACTTCGTGATGCTAGGAATTTTTGTCCAGGAATCACATTTGTTATTTGAGATCAAACATCCTTCTCATAGATTACTTGTTTCGAATTGAAAATTTCAAGATAGGTACAAATATCTTTAAACTGGAAGTGTGATTTTGTTACGTGATCATTTTTAGTTAATTTATAAATAATCCATCCAACGATATAGGAAAATTTTGATGCTTCAGCTGGTTCCAAAATAATAATATTCTTTGGCGTTATATTACAGTCTGCAGCAAAGTTAGTTGGATTTTTTTCATCGCTTTTTTTGAATGTATATTTAATTACATTTTGCAAAAGTAAATATACAATAAGCCTTAAGACTGAAGAATCATGCAATTTAGTTTTTGCCAAAAATTCCTGATACCAGCTACCAGAACATTGATAGTTATTCAAACGGAGTTCAAAGGTAGAATTCCAAATAGTTAACCATTGAACCCCTATTTTCTTTGGAACAGATTCACAAGCAATTTTTTTAATATTATCTTTCCACAATTGTAATAATTCATTAATAGAATCCAAATAAAGTATAACTTCAATAAGATTTTGTCATTCAATTTGAAGCTGATAAATTCTAAGATTTTCATAATCAACATTATCATTAAAGGACTTTAACGGAAATGTAAATCTTCCCATAGTTAAATTATCAGTAAAAAGATTTTTAAAGATAGTACAAGAAAATGATGATAATTGTAACAATCGCATATTGTATTTTTGAGAAAGATCATTTTCATTTTCTTTGTTTTCTTCATTATGTAATTTTTTTCTTTTCGGTAATCTCTAAAAATTAAATAAAAAACATTTAATTAAATTTTATTTATAATTAAAAAATTGAAAATACTGTATATACCTTCTTGTTAAAGAATTAATACCAATACCAGTAGTATTATTAGCTATTCCATAATTAATGCTTTTTATTTCAGATGAAACTAATGCTGTAATTTGATATTTATTTAAAGTATGTCCATATGATTTTAGTGTTTGTGTGGAAGAATCTCCTCCAAGTTCACGAATTACACCAAAAAGACCTTCAAGTATATCTTGTGAAATACATCGTGACTGAACTATTGAACCAGGATATTTTTTCAAAATAAATTCTAATAGTCCAAGAAAACCATCAATTGATAAAATCAAATCAAATTGACATTGTGGTGAGATCCATTCCATATGTCCTGTCTTTTGTTTATTCCTATATATAAACCAATTATGAATTTCTTTTAAAGTATTAACACGCGGATCTTCTATAGAGCAAAAATTGATTTTACTATGCATAATCTGGCGATATTTTCATGCATATTTAATAAATTCCTTAAAAAAAAAAATTGGAATTAATAATACCTCAAATATAAATAAATAATATTCTTTAATAATAACTTACTCTTGTTCCTTCTGATATATTTTTAAATTTATTGATAGATGCTAATGCATCTTCAACTTCTTTTGATAATGTATGTTCAGCAAGGTCAACACGCATTTTACTCCATGAAGTAAGCTATATATGTCGCTTTGTAAGTTTTGTAGCTTTTGCTGTTGCATGTTGATTTGTATATTCATAAACACCTTTTATATGTTTCCAACTAATTTCCTTTCCATTAATCATTATTTCTCTAGCATTTTTTTTACCAGTGTGACTCTTTGATAGATTATTTCTAAGTTTTTTAAAAACGTGTATTGAATCACTAATAAAGAACCACTCTTCGTCTCTTCCCCAGTAATAGGATTATTATAAATAGGTCTAAGAAATTTACTAACATGATAACTAAAAACTTTCCATCTTCTTTTTGCATATATTCCTTCTACAATTTCTACAGATAATGTTATTTCAATCAGATCAAAATTCAATAATTTTTCCTAAATACCATTGATTATCATCTGGATTTTTAAATTCACATAACTTATTAACATTCCATTCTAATTTTAAAGGCATTGGTGGATGAATATAAGCTCGATCAATTGTAATTATTTCAGAATTATTATGATTAAGCTGACGTACAATAAATTTTGATCTTTCAGAATTACTACCTATGATTTCTGCTGCATAAAATGATTTTTTAGTTTTATCAAAATTAATTTCTACCAAATCACCAGAAGACCAGGTTGATGCATACCAATCAAAACTCTTTATATGAGTTCTATTTTCTCCTGCACCATCACAAATTGAACCATATGTATGTATGCCAATACATTCTAATTTTGCTGCAAGGTTGAATATTAAAGTATTTAAATTATGTGCTGTTAATATATTAATACCATAATAAGCAATTGGAAAGGCAAAGTTATGTGTTGTTGAGTGCCAAACAATTTGATGAACCTGAGTTGCAAGTTCATTCTTTTGCTTTTGCTTTTCAGATATAGTATTAGATAATGAATTATTTTCTCCTGATATTTCACATTGACACTGCAAGGCAAATGATTGATAATCCTGCATTTCATTTTCAAAATCTAAATATCCAACATAACAGTTTTCACGTTGACTCCAAAGAAGACCTTTTTAAATTAAATTATTAATTAATTTATTTATATGTAAAATTAAAAATAAAATAAATAAAATTCAATACCTTTTTGAATTTTAAAGGAATCATGTGAAAAAAATCCTACTCGTCCATATCCCCAAATTTTGTTTGTTGTTAAACTTTCTAACATTTGAGAAGCAATTTTATCTTGCCATCCTGAATGCTGTTCACTTTCATTTATATAACTTTTAAGGGTAGAAATTGATGGTAAACGCATTATTGTTTTCATTGCATTATAGGCAGCATTTCCAGATCTACTATATACAGATATTGCCCAACGTAAAAACCTATAAAAAAAATTAGTTTTTTTTGTGAAATAAAATAAAGTCATTACTTAATTAATTAATCTTACATTGGATGGTATCTTACTCCATTTGGTTTTTCACTTTGAATACAAATTAGTTCTTGAAAAATAGGATGAAAATTTGAAATATCTATGTTTTTACTGGTAACATTTTCAGTAGCTGTATAAGCAATTTTTTCCATCTCATCAGAGATTTCGCCTCCTTCTTCTTCTATCTTCTTCTGTAAGCAAGTTCTTATATTTGTAATAGTTAAATTTTGTTCTTGAATTATTTTGCATTGATGATTAATTTTTTTTATAAGAATTTCTTTAGAAGCATGTATAGTTTTCACAGAATTTACACCAGATAAAAATCTTCTATGAATTTGTTGTATTATTTTATGCACCTTTTAACAATTTTCACATACATTACTATTTTTTACTACAAGCATGCAATTTATATGTCGATATACTTCATCTGATTGACCTTTATTCTCCAAAATAGCCAAAACAGCATGCTCTTGTGTATTGCTAACTAATTGATTTCCTCTAATACAAACTATATTTTCAAAACCTTGAATTTTAAATTAATAATAAGTAAATAATAAATAAAAATATAAATACTTCAAATTATAAATTTATATTTACCAATGGTACTTTGTCTATAATAAACTTTAAGAAAAAAAATATGTTTGATTTCATTAAGAGTTCTTTTCATTGCTTTAATTGGAAATGGAAGATCTACTTCTGGTAATATTTTATTAAATACCCAAACTTCGTAACTAAATAAAGCACCTTTAGCAAAAATTATCATCATCTTTTCTGATTTTTTTTTTTTATTAAAAAAGTGAAGTTCAAGACCTTTATTAATTTCTTGTACAATGGTTCCTATAAATTTTCCACCTGGTAAAATTTCTTTTTGAATTAATAAAAAAATATTTTGAATATCTGCGCAATTAGAAGTTTTTCAGTATGGCGTATAATTAGATTTACATAAAATTGATGCAATCGGTATACTAGTAGGATTGGATTCTAAAAAAATAGTTGTAAGAGCTGATTTATATCCTTTAAATAATCCTTGTTTTTTTAATCCAGTTATCCATTTGGAAAATGTTTCATACTTATGATCATTTTTAATACTATATACATATGCTTTTTTTTCTTTCACATCATATAAAAGTATACCTTCAAAGTATTTATCCAATGTTGGAAAAAAGTATACTTTTTTTCCTTTAAGTTCTGGTCAAATATGTACAAATTCTTGTAATGCTTCAACTTTTTTTTGCCGATTTATTGAAGTATTAGTTTTTTCATGAGAAGTAGAAGGCTATTTTGAAATAAGAATTATTAATATAATAAAATTTCTATTTAAAAATAACAACAGCATCAATTTTTTTCTTGTTACTCACCATTTTTAACGTTTATCTTATAGTCTATAATCAATTAAAGTCGCTAATTCAAATTATCTTTAGAACTAGAAATGCAATAACGATAAAATTCATATCACGTATAGCCACATATTGTATCATCTTGGTGTAATTTAATAGTGTCACAAGAAATTGACTTATTAGCAGGGGAGTAGGGGAGCTACCATTCGATTCATTCATTGTGTTATAAGATAATAAGAACCATCTAAAAGCGGAAACCAAATAGTAAAGCTTTATTCACTAGTAAATTATTATTTAAAAAAAAAATTATTATTAAAAAAAAATCTATATAACTAAAAAAATTTGTCTGACGTTTGGATTTATAGTCTCTGTGTAAATAATTTAAATTGTGTAATTTGAAATACAATTAAAACCCGTGATAAGCCTCCGCCTGATCTATTTATGGTCAAAAACTATTCGATTCGTGTGCATTCCAATCAACTAATCCAATTTCAGTTAATAAAATTTTCCTTTTTTTCGGAAATTTCCCTTTTTTTCAAACTGATTTCCTTTCTTTATTCTTTTTCTTCCCCCCAAATTTTTTTATTATATTAAATATATTTACAAAATTATTATTTTTTTTAAAAAAATCAATATAACAAACATATCAGATATAGGAAAATTGACCAACACGAGTAAGATTTTTTCAATTAAATTAAATGCTGGATAAATAGTTTGATTTTCAAATTCATAAAAATCAATTAATTATAAAATATATAAAAATGTCAATTTTTTTTTTAAAGAAATTGTTGATTTAATAATAGATTATTATAACCAAATCCATATCCAAAATTGTCTAAATAACTATCAGATTTTTGAATAAAAATTTTAATTCAAATGGTTTAGTTAAATTAAGTACCAAAATAATAATAAATGAAATGAATAGATTCTAATACATTTAATTATTCAAATATTTTTTTTAAGTTGGTTATAAGTTTAAGATTGACGTAATATAAAATAAGAAATAATTATAAAATTTATAATTAATTAAAAAAAAATATTTGTAGTATTTTCATAATATTAAAGTTTTACAAAAATATTTCTAAAAAATTAATCAAAAAAATGAGGGTGAATGAAAAAATAGGGAGATAAAAGGATAAAAGAAATGAAGGAGAGTGAGGGAGAAACGAAATGGAGCAAAGGGTGAGCGAAAAAAATAAAAGGAACGAAAAAGATCAAGTCGGAATGAAAAAAAATGAAAAAAATGGAGGGACGAAATGGAGCAAAGGAGAATAAAAAAAAATGAAAGGAACAAAGGGTAATGTAAAAAGAAGTGGAATGGGAAAAAAATGAAATGATAGAGGATAGTGTAAAGGAACAAAAAAGATGAAACGGGAATGGAATAAAAATGAAAGGAACGAAGGGTAGTGTAAAGGAATGAAAAGACGAAGAAACAAAGAGGAAATAAAAATAACAGAAAAAACGAAGGAAGGGAAGAATAAAAAGAGCAAAAAAAATGAAGAAACAAAAAGAAAACAAAAAAATGGAGAAGGGACGGAAATGAGATAAACAGTAAAAACCAAACCCATAAAATTAAAAGGAGAAATAAAGTTAGTAGGAAACGGAAATTACATGTAATAAATAAACAAAAACAAAAAAATAAAAAACATACCTTAGTAGTTATAAAGAAGAATCGAAAGACCTAAAAAGAATGAATTCAAAATGTAAAATGATCAGCACA